AAGATCTGAGGAATGAAACTCAGGTAATTTTGAAGGGTAAGATTTTGAATCTCACCCTTCAAAATTAATCTTTGTTCAACCTCCAAACTCAATCTGTTGTTCAACAGCTTTGTGATAAGCTTATTGAACACCGTACACATGCTGATAGGTCGGTAATCCGTCTATCTACAAGCATTCTTCCTCTTCGGAAGTAAAATAATAGATGTAGCAACAAATCCTCTCGGCAAATGACCACCCTCAAAGAAATCAATGATTGCACTGTATACATCATCCTGTATAATATCCCAACAGTGTTGGTAAAATAATGATGAAAATCCATGAAAGCCAGCAGCATTATCAGCATCAATACTGAAAATAGCCTCCCGCATCTCATCAATTAAAGGGAGACGATTCAGNCTTATTGAACACCGTACACAGGCTGATAGGTCGGTAATCCGTCCATCTACAAGCATTCTCCTTCTTCTGGAGCAAAATAATAGACGTAGCAGCAAATCCTCTCGGCAAATGACCATCCTCAAAGAAATCAATGATTGCACTGTATACATCATCCTGATTAATATCCCAACAGTGTTGGTAGAATAATGATGTGAATCCATCAGGACCAGCAGCACTATCAGCATCAATACTGAAAACAGCCTCCTGCACCTCATCAATTAAAGGGAGACGATTCAGCGTCATATTATCTGCCTCCGTCAGTATCCTAGGTATGACATCAGGACGAATATACTCCAGAGGCTGTGAAGGAGCTAATAATAATTCCTGGAAAAAATTGATTGTAGAGCTCTGAATATCCACTGGAGTGTTAAGAACTTCCCCTGCCCGATTCGTAATGGTCCTGATACGAGATTTTGATCTATCGTCCGTGTACCGGCGAATGAAAATATCTGGTGTTGTGATCTCCTTCACATACCCAATGAGATTCGGCCTTTTGCTTCCAAAAACCCTCCTCAATAGCTAAGGTCCGGTTCAAATCAGTCTGTGCATGATGAAGTGAGTCACGGTGCTCCGGTGTAGGATTAACCTCAAAATCAATCTCTGTCTGGTCAACCCTCTCATCAGCGTCTCTAACTCTCTGGAGCACATCACCAAATACCCATTGATTCCACCACCTTAGTCCCTGTTTCAGCCTAAAGAACTTCTCCCATAGGGCAGTCATTCCTGTAAGATGAGTAGGGAATGACCACTTTTGAGAAACGAAGGTTGAGAATTCATGATGTTTGGTCCAAACATTGAGGAATCTAAATGGTCTAGGACCTGAATCATCATCAGAAATCCACTGTAAAAGTAGAGGTGAGTGATCAGATGAAGTACGCTTCAGATGAGTCACGGTAAGCTGCTACAAAAATCTGTAGCTAAAGAGTTAATCAAAACTCTATCCAATCTCTTACTAACCTTGCCATTCGTCCAGGTAAACTGAGACCCAGAAAAGCTAGCATCCTCTAAGCCACAATCCAACATCATTTCAGAAAATCAATAGAACCACGATCTTGACGACTATGATCAATATGCTCACCATCATGTGTGATGACGCTAAAGTCATCTCCAACAAGCCAATGATCATCCCTAGAGAGGGAAATGTGGTGAAGACCCGCCCACAAGTCCCTCCTAACATATGCCTCACAAGCAGCATAAACAAAAGTCAAGTAAATAGGTCATGCTAGTCTAGGATCCACAACTCTGATATGTAGGAACTGGATATGATCATCAATAACAGTAACGGTAGTACCCACATTCCAGAATATCCAAATCTTATTCGACTCATTCTGAACCCCAGTGTCGAAATGTAGATAACGACGAACAAAATCAAACATCCTCTCTAAAACTATAGGCTCCGGAATAACCAAGATATAAACCTGATGAAGCTGAATAAGTTTTCTCAGGCGTCTGCGAGTAGCTACACTAGCTACACCTCTCATTCCATATGATGGCACTCATAGGGACGTGGAATGTGAGGAAATACTCTGTGACTGACTCCTAGTGACCCTCCTACTCGGGAATGGGATGTCAGTAGTTCTTGGATGTCTCTTCCTTACAACAAGGACAAATCCATCATCCTCTGTCCTCTCACTCAAACCAACCAAATCATCACAAGAAGATCTACAGAAGGGGCCCTGTTGGTGAACCTCAATCTGAGATGAACCCTCTGCATCTGACTGAGCCAACTGCAAAGCAGGAATAGATGCCTCCACAATCTGATGACAAATGGGAGGAGGAGACGTAGTAATGGGCGTCTGAACCTTACTTGGTGTCGGGCCCGGAATATGAGCAGCCCTGGTGACTGTGTCCGATGGATAATCAAATATCTGTGGCCTCTACAATATCTTATCCAACATCGGATCATAGAACAGAGTAGAACCCAATGGCGGAGTAGATGTAGCAGAAACTAGATGCTGTGCAATCATGGTCTGAGTAGACGGTAGTAAAGTAGATAATAAAGTATCTGGAGGTGCTATGGAGTCGGAAGGGGCCTCAGGAGGAGCTTGAATCACATAATCCGCAAGGGGGTTAAAATATAAAGTATAAGAATATCGACAGTCTGAGAAAGAGCTAGAGTAGTAGCAACCGAAGCAGAAGTAGGCGGCAGTATTGGATCAACCTGGAGAGCTGTTGTACTGGTAACTCGCGAAACTGTCACAAGAGGAGGAAGGACTGAAAGAAGAACTGACTGGGTCTGAATATAAGTCTGATGAGCAACTGTGCTATTAACTACTAGAGCTGTAACTGGAGAAAGAATAGCAGAACGAACTACTAACTGAGACTCAGTACGTGTAGAAAGCATAGTAGTAGGGTTAACAGTGGTAGCTGATGGTGGTACAAAAGGGTCTCCTGAAGTGCTGGCATGGTGCAGTCTCATATGATCTCTCTTGACTGGTGTCCGTCTCTGACGAGACTCCACAACTATCTCCTTTCGCTTACCATTGTCTTTGGATGGTTGAATAGGCTTAGGAGTAGGATTAGTAGGGAGTGGTACAGTGGTGGGTGGTGGTGCAGGGCGTGATCCAATCATACAATGTTCATCAGTGTACCCAAAATGTCTGCACAGGATACAATAATCTGGTATCTTGTCATATACAAAAGTCTGCCAGTATCCACCTCTTTTCTCCCTCTCAATCCTTATCCTATCAGGGAGCTTAAAATCAAGATAAACCTCAATACAAACTCGTGCCTTACTAGGTCGTCGTAAATCAGAAGTAGCTTTATTAATACGGAGTGGAAGTCTAATAGCCTTAGAAATAGCAAACAAACTGCTCTTTACCATAAAGTGGATGGGCAGTAGTGGAAATGAAACCCAAACAGGGACAATGGGGGTCTCATGCTGAGGGTCCATTTGGTTACTCTTATGGGACACCCGTCAATGTACCGGTGGGCTTAAGGAATAACCGAGAATAATCGTCCTCGTGTGCCAAGTGAATCAAAATATGATAAGCATCTATCAATCCTATCATATAATCACCGTGAAATCCAAAGCGCAAAAAACTATCGCGTACCTTAATCATAGAAGGCTTACGATAAGAGAATTTGCCAACAAGTGTGAACTTATATGGCGAAGAAAGATGCTCCCCCTCCTGTTTTGTAAATAAGACTGTCGGCTCACCATTATGTATATACGAGTCTTTAGAGACCACCAACCTGTAATCAGTGGTGTCCTGTGGAGCTTGAAGAGCTGGTGCAAATGACTTTTTCTGGCTTCGCTCGACCTGAGACATAACAGTTTTGCTTGAAAGGGCAGCAACATACGACTTCCGAATTTGATTTGGCAACTTAGGGATCTCGACCGGCGAATCTGTCAATTAAATTGTGCATAGATTAACTGGGGCTACATTCTGCCCAAAAATTGTTGAGGCACCACCGTGGCCGTCGGTGGCTGTGTCGGCGGCCACGGACCTCCGAACCCATAATTCGATGATTTTTTACAGGATGGTGCAGAAGTTCATACTGAACATGGTGGTCAAGCGCGTGGTTGGAGATGAGGTCAGGATTGGCCGGAATTTGAGTTTTTCCAACATGTTGGGCGTTCACGTTTGGGTCAATTTCGGGCGCATCCGAGTTCCAATCAGGCTGATTTTTTTTGTCAAAGCATCGTATCCTCATGGAAAAGCTAAATATATGGCATGTGTAGCAAGGTGGTCCCACAACAGGAGGAATTGAAAAATCAGTCGCTAATTGCATTGAATTCAATGTTTTGATTTTGCCCAAATTGGTCACCTCCAACACTACCATAAGGGTTTTTGGGCCTTCTGAGATCAATGGTGGTGGTCCTGTCACCAAATTCTAGGCTGAAACGGGTGAAACGAGTGCATTAGGATGCGTGCCACTCGTTATTTGGTTCAAACCAAATCTGATTTCTTTAAATATTGTTGCTGATTGTTGAAAAGTTGTATGAGATGGTGTTGGAGGTGTGTTGTCATTGGTAGTGGTGGTGATTTTGGTGGTGGATCAAGGGTGTTGATGGATTTGTCTTTATCTTCCATTCTAGAGAGAAGGGAGAGAGTTTTGCATTCCAGTATTATCACCATAGTGAGGTAATAAGGACTGCCAGGATCACTAATCAATCGATTGACAATAGACGCCACATCTCCAGTCATTGTTTCTGCAAATGACGGATCAACCGGTGAATCTACTTGATTCGTTTGGCTTTGATTCTCTGTTTGAGGATCAGATTCATTCGCCAATGCAGAAGGAATTCACCGCTCTGATACCATGTGAAGTTTATATCAGAGCAAGCAAGATCTGAAAATAAAGAAAAAGGGCAGAAAAAGTTGTTGATCTCAACTGAAGTTTTTTCGGTAAATTATATTTAAAAAAGAGTTATATGCGCCTATTTATATATGAAATTAGGAATGGTAAAAGACATAAATGACTATACGATCTAAAAAATCTTAATACACATAGAGGGATATTAAGCCTTATTGAATATTATTGTATATATTTGACACAAAAAATATTATTGCGTACTGTATTAATGTTGCAGCACCAGGCACGATCAAGAGTTATTTCAAATGCAGCACAAGTTGCCTAAGGGAATCTGCTTGAGTTTTGATTTTGAAGATTCTCATCTGGTATTTTTAAATAACCTATTATATGACCTTTTATTTTATTTTTGGATTTCTTTTATACTTTTCACTTTTTCCTACTTGTGGTTGTACTAGGATTTGCCATTGTTGTACCTGAAAAGAGGATCCACCATTCCTTGCACTCCTCTTCATCAACATGTTGGTGAAGCTAATCCTACGGATGATAATTCTCTGCTGGTGGCTTTGGATGAACATGGTAATTTGTTCGTTTGTCACATTTTAATGATATGATAACGTGTATGGACGGGAATTAGTATGTTACTAGACCTAATAAGAATAAATTAAGCGCATGTTTGTCATCCTTTAAAATTTTAAATTGTTTTCTACGATACCATTCTCCACCACAGATTCACACAATAAAATATTCTACACACGTCCCCCGGGGCACATCCAAGTTGGCAAAAGATGGGCATTACTGCGCTTGCAACCTCAGGGTGGGGAGTTCGATTCCTGAATGGAGTAGCTGAGTGTTGTAATACTCAATTTGGGTAGAGCAGGTTGGTGATGTAATATTCATGGAGGAAGGCTCCCTTGGGGCCAGTAGTATAAAAGGAGCACAAACCTTGGTCAAATTGGGCATATTCCGCGGTTAACCTCCACCTGGTGCACAGACCCTGGTCAACTTGGGCATATCCCGCGGGTAACATCCGCCCATCACTGAGGGGCCGGGGATGGGTGGTCCAGGACATAGTCTGGTGTAAGTTAGGATACCTGGATATCAAAAAAATAATAATAAAATAAAATATTCTACACACAAACCAATAAAATTTCCTTACTTTTTAACCACACATTCTCTATCAATCTACTATTTTATAATACATTACAAGAAATTACATGCTCTCAAATGGGGCGTAAATTTTACTATGCTTTTGTCCCACTGGCCTTCAGTAAAGCATCTATAATGTTATTATGTTTCCCGTCTTTTGCTATTTTGGGTTCTGGTCAACTGGGGAACAGACAATATTTTGGTACCTTGTCAAAATTATTCTTCAACTGCATTCTCCAATGAATCGTTGGCAAGGAGGATAAATTGAGCTGCTAAGAAAATAAACTGAAATGCTCCAGGAAGGGGAGAAGAAAGACAAATGACTTAAGAAAAGAAGTCCAGTGTTGGGAACCTCAACGCTTGAGTAAATTACACCATATTGTAAGAGAGAATGTATTAGATGATGCATAGCATGAAGTCAAGAAATAAAAAATCCAATGAAAATTTATGTTTTCCCTGAGATGAACAAAAGGAGCTTTTTGCAATGTCGGGACAGTTGTATACAGTTTACAAACAATGTTTTGTATGTCAACATAGAGATATCTTTTTGTCAGGAGTTTGCTAAGATGCTTTTATTTAGGTCTTCACATATTTCTGTCATGGAAGCACGATCTTGTTGCTATATTACAGACATTATTTTAGTATAGAATAAAAACGATGGAAACAACAAATTGAAATTGAAGTATAATAGGCTCAATGGCTTTCTCCCTTTGGTTTCAGAGATTTGAGGTAGCTTAAATTCCGAATAGAGAAAAATACGGCTGAAATTTTTGACTTGCTCATACATTACTTTTGTATAGGTTTCAACTCAAATTTTACTTGTGTAGTTGGTGTTATGAATGAGTTAATTATATTGCAGAGGAGACATTAGTGGATTTCAGAATTGGATCTCTTTAACTGCTGTTAAAGCTGAAGGTATTCTCTTTAAAGATGATGGTGACGGATATGAATACATAAAAGGAGGATATCTGTTGACAACATACGTTTCTGAACATCAGTCTTCAGTGGTAACTTTAAGGGTTTCAAAAGCTGAAGGATCTTGGAAGAGACCAAACCATCGCTTACATGTGCAACTGCTGCTTGGCATAGGTGCTGTGGTATGTATTTATTTCATGGCATTCAATTTTTTGTTAAGATGTGCATGATAAAAAATGTAAAATGTTTGCTCTGTTTGTGTTATTTTTCTTTTGTCAAATAGCTTGACGCATGGGGCACTGATGGGGAGATTCTGCAAATCAAAATGCCCTCAGAAGATGATTTGTCAGAATTAATATTGGCCGGCAAAAGGGAATACAGACTTCGTATAGGTAATTGCATTTTGGAACTATTTAATTGACTGCCTAGTCATCTATAAAACAACTTTCACTTTTTTCTAAATTTGTCAGATTAGAGGCTGGACGTATGTTAAAAATATTAATATTACAAAATATTGTATCAAACTTCATCCAAAAAAAAGAACGTATTGCAAGTTTGATCCTGGGCAACATATTATAACATTTACAGCGTGTTTAAATTGTTGATTATGTCAAATAGATTTGTATAGAACATCTAACGAAGAATATCTTGTTTACACCATGTTCTAGAGTCTGTTTAGGAATGACATTAACGAAGACTTATATGATATTTTTTAGCAGGATTTTCTAATAACACAATGATGTTAATTGCAGAGAGTGCTAGGCGTATTCCAGATATGGATAATGTTCGTGGACACAATGGAACATAACTTTCATGGAATCCTGTGGAAATAAAAAGTAGGGTTTGGGCTCTGAAAGTGGTTTCGTGGACAAGAGGTTGATTTATTTCAATGGAGCACCTTCCTACAGGTAAGGTCTACTACATCTTTTGCCTAACTTTCTGTTCATCTACTGAACGACTTCTAGATTATCTTTACTTCAAGTTCTCCATGTAATATGGTTTTCTAATATTTCTAGGAAAGACGGTCTCATATTCTTTATTTTGGTAATGTGACAGGAACTCAATGGCCTCACAGTCGGGTGGATGTTAATGGGTATGAAGAATATAGTGGTGTGGAGTACCGATCTGCTGGATGCTTCGAGGAGTATTCTGTTATCGAGTGAGTAGATAAATCGAGTTGCTGATTTATGCTTAACATTCCTCTCGCGCTTTCCACATTCCTTTCACCCATTCTTTTAAAAACTCTACTGTATGGAATTTTTTCTATACCCTCAAATGCTACTGTACTCTATTTGAGTTGAAATTTATAATATATGGTGTAGACACTGAAATTTTAAAATCTTGGGTTATTATCACTGATCATCAGATCTTCTGGCTAATATTATAAACTATGAAGCGTGATTAAAAACAACATTTTGCTGGTTTCTTTCTTTTTACAGTCGGCATTTGGAGCAGCCTGGAGAAATAGAATCCCTAAACTTAGAAGGTGATATAATTATAGGAGGCGGACTAATTCTTGAGAGGAAAATATCTTTTCCAGAAAATGTTCCTGTTAGAATTTGACGCTTCAATCAACCAATTCCCGGGCTCAGTTCACCAACCAATCAACATCACAATGAACAACCGAATCTCCCAACAACCGACCACCCAAAAAGGTTGCTCCAAGGTGCCACAAAGGCTGAGTGTGATTGATCTTCGGCAGCCTTAACTAGCCACTAAAGCTAAGAGAAGGAGGAGAAGATAGCACAACGCAAGAGGAAGCACAAGGCAAAACTATCTTTTCCCTCCCAAACTCACGGCTCCAAGAATTCACACACTAGGGCAAGATAACACAAACCGACCCAATTATAAGCCAACCAAAATGGGCTTCTAGTTTAAAGTAAAGTGGCCCAATAAGTACCAACAAATGGGCCTCTAACTATAAAAGCTGTCCAAGATATTTGGGTTGGACAATGAGCAACTCTAATTAATTAGGCTGCTTCCAATGGCCTACTTATGTTGTCGGAGTGGTCCGTTCATTGTGATATCGACATTTCACTTCAATCATCGGCCGATGCCCATAAAGTCTAATCCAAACTATAAAACTGGTTTACATCATCGCCCGGATTTATTGGGTATCAAAAAACCCAACAGATCTCCACCTTGATCCTAATAAATCTGTAAGCAACCAAAACACACAGTTTATACTTGCACAATCAAGGTAACCAATAAAATTGGTATCACAGACCTTACCTCGTGTTTCGAACCCGAAACACATACCATACCTGCTCCATATACTCACAAGGGCTAAGATCAAGAACACCCAA